GCAGCATTCATGGAGGGGGGTGGCTGGGCTTAGTCCATCAGCCTTAAGTGAAGGCAAGCTTCGAGAGCTGCAGCCATAGATACCCTAAGAAGGAGGGGCAAGGGGGGGGAGGGGGGGCGGAAGGGGGGGGGGGAAGGGGGGGCGGGAGGGGGCGCGGAGAGGGGAGGGGGAGAGGAAGGGGGGATTGAAACGAGGTCGAGAAAATGCTTGCTGCCGCGTACAGCGACAGCTTCAAACCTGGGGCGAANNCTAGAATTTCACGCGGGATGGTCAGGCTGGACTAGGCCACCCAGCATGGTAAAGGGGGTCGCCACGAGCGACAGATCTGCAAAAGGGGGTTCGGGTGGTTTTTTGGGGGTTCTGAACGCCCTGAGGCTGGATAGCCTTGGCGAATTTTGCGTCCTGTTTGATATCCAATGTGCAACTTCGCAACAATGACGTGGAAGCAAATTGCGTTCGTTTGTGTGAACGCGCTCATCATCAGCGTTGAGGTCACTACTTGGTGACGGGCAGTCCATCAAGCCCATTTGTTCGTAAACTTGACTTATCAACCTCGCATCAGACCAGACGGCCTAGGGAGAAGCAAGTCGTCTATTCTGCATGGTTTGTGGAGTACGTCTTTCAAGGGCAGCATGTGCAGATGTAGGAAGATCCACAGGACGAGTTGATACGCTCAGGTGGTCAGAAGGAGGTGGTGATGGATGCCGATCCGGAGGCTGCGGAAAGAAGTTCTTATGATTGTAAGAATTAGAGTCGGATCCCTCTTGTCCTTGTATTTTGTCGCGCTCTTGTTATGGTTCGGACTCATTTCTTCAGACAGAAGCTTCAAGGCTGCAACCTTTAGGGGATGAGTCCCATACTGAATCCTGTAATGGCTTGCATGTAGGTGATGATCAGATTGGGGGTTTCTTCCCACGGATGTTGAGGGTTTGGATCGCCAAGGCCTGATGTTTGTTCCCAGGACTCCATACTCCCTTAAAAGGTTCGAGTAGTCCGTGCCTGTCCATGCCCTCGAACTCAGGAAACACTACTGTTGTGCGTGCCGTGTATTGATCATTATTCTTGTTGTGTTCCACTACTTCGAGACAACATGCAAATCTTTCTGACGAGGCCTTCAACTTTAACAAGGTCGCCGACGCGGAGATCGTGGGGTTGGTGTGACACTGAGGTCACAGCCGGGGATGCATCTGATCGGGCTGGCAAATTGAAGGTTGATGATGCCTGCGACTTGGCCGTTACCGTGGCATCCCCAGAAGGTTGTTTGTGGTAGTTGCCATTTTATTTTCCATTATTCCCCATATAAACCCCAATATACTATAGTAGTTTCCATTTTATTTTCCATTATCCTAATATAATCCCAAGAGCCCGGGAGTACGAGATGCGAATCATGTCATGCTGTGACTGAGGTCTTGGCTTGCGGCTCGCCGCTGGCAATAGGCCACATGCCGCCGGCTAAGACCCATGCTTTATGAGGGTTATATTGGGATTATATTAGGATAATGGAAAATAAAATGGAAACTACTCTATTTTATAGGGATTATATAAGGGTTATATTGGGATTATATTAGGATAATGGAAAATAGAATGGAAACTACTATAGTATATTGGGGTTTATATGGGGAATAATGGAAAAGAAAATGGAAACTACTACAATATATTGGCGTTTATATGGGGAATAATGGAAAAGAAAATGGAAACTACTACAATATATTGGGGTTTATATGGGGAATAATGGAAAAGAAAATGGAAACTATAGGGATAATACAGGATTTATATAGGGGAATGCTGGAAAGTTGTGCGAAGCTTCAGGCTGCTGGTGCCGCGGCGAGATGTCATCACTCCCCAGGTGGGTGCTTGCAAAAGTTGGGTGTGCTCATAGACCATATATAACCAATTATAGTAGTTTCCATTTTCTTTTCCATTATTCCCCATATAAACCCCAATATACTATAGTAGTTTCCATTTTCTTTTCCATTATCCTAATATAATCCCAATATAACCGCCGAGTCTGAAGCTGTCATCTCACCGAAAAGATTTTCGCCAGTGGTTGCT